TCTCCATGAGGATGAGGATGGGTGGGGTTGTGGGGTCTCCATGAGGATCTGGAGGAGGTTGGGTGGGGTTGGGGGGTCTCCATGAGGATCTGGAGGAGGTTGGGTGGGGTTGGGGGGTCTCCATGAGGATCTGGAGGAGGTTGGGTGGGGTTGAGGGGTCTCCATAAGGATCTAGAGAAGGTTGGGTGGGCTGGGGGGTCTCCATGATCACAGACAGGTCGGGGGGCTCCCGCTGGCACAGGGAGGGGTCTGGGGGAGCCCTACTTGAGGGTCTCGACGGGTTTGGGGTCGAAGTTGCCCTCGGCGTCCACCGAGGCCTTCTTCTCGGTGCGGGACGAGTAGCTGGCGTCCACGTAGTCGGGCGGGAGCGCGCCGGCGATGGCGCAGAGGCACGGCATGGCCAGCTTGTAGAGCTCGGCCTCGAACTTCTGCGGGGACACGGTGACACCGGTGACACCGGTGACACCAGCCTCGTGCCACCACGATCACCAGTTCCCCCAGTGTCACCATCCCTGTGTCACCTGTGCCACCGGTGCCACCAGCCTCATGCCACCACAGTCACCAGTCACCACTTCCCCCAGTGTCACCATCCCCATGTCCCCAGTGTCACCACGTCCATGTCCCCAGTGTCACCATCCCTGTATCACCAGTGTCACCATGTCCATGTCCCCACCATCTCCACCCCCATGTCCCCCGTGTCACCATGTCCATGTCCCCACCATCTCCACCTCAATGTCCCCAGTGTCACCATCCCTGTACCACCAGTGTCACCATGTCCATGTCCCCACCATCTCCACCCCCGTGTCCCCAGTGTCACCATCCCTGTATCACCAGTGTCACCATGTCCATGTCCCCACCATCTCCACCTCCATGTCCCCAGTGTCACCATCCCTGTACCACCAGTGTCACCATGTCCATGTCCCCACCATCTCCACCCCCATGTCCCCAGTGTCACCATCCCTGTATCACCAGTGTCACCAACCCAATGTCCATGTCCCCAGCGTCACCATCCCCATGTCCCCAGTGTCACCATCCCCATGTCCCTGCCATCTTCACCTCCATGTCCCCAGTGTCACCAGTTCTGTGTCCCCAGTGTCACCATCCCTGTATCACCAGTGTCACCATGTCCATGTCCCCACCATCTCCACCCCCGTGTCCCCAGTGTCACCATCCCTGTATCACCAGTGTCACCAACCCAATGTCCATGTCCCCAGTGACACCATCCCCATGTCCCCAGTGTCACCATCCCCATGTTCCCACCATCTCCATCCCCATGTCCCCAGTGTCACCATCCCTGTATCACCAGTGTCACCATGTCCATGTCCCCACCATCTCCACCCCCGTGTCCCCAGTGTCACCATCCCCATGTTCCCACCATCTCCACCCCCGTGTCCCCAGTGTCACCATCGCTGTATCACCAGTGTCACCAACCCAATGTCCATGTCCCCAGCGTCACCATCCCCATGTCCCCAGTGTCACCATCCCCATGTCCCCGCCATCTCCACCTCCATGTCCCCAGTGTCACCATCCCTGTATCACCAGTGTCACCAT